CTGACTTTCTCATTAAAATCTAAATGCCAAATTAAACATTCTACATCAGTGGTTCTCAACCTGTGGGTCGGGACCCCATTTGGGGTCGATCGACCATTTCATGGGGGTCGCCAAGCAAGGCTGTCTGCCATTTTTTTTGTCCGCCATTTTTTTTGTCCGCCGTTTTTTCCCCTTTTCCGGCGGGTGCCTTACCTCCCTTGGGCTGGGCCAGCTGGTAGTCGGCCTGCTCCGTCTCTGCCGCTTGCCAGCTACGCCTCAGCCGGCACAGGGGGCAGAACCACACATGCGCAGCGCTCCCAGGCAGGGAAAGTCCTCGACTTACGACCGGTTGGGTAGTCCTCGACTTATGACCAGTTTAGTCCTTGACTTACGACCGGTTTAGTCCTCGACTTACGACCGGTTTAGTCCTCGACTTACGACTAGTTGGGGTCACGGCATTAAAAAGGTTGAGAACCACTGTTCTACATTATGTATCTCTGTTTTAATTTTATGGGGAAATTGCCTAGGGTTACTATTTAAATATACATTTTTGATAGAAGTTGTGCTTTTTAATAAACTATACAATGGTTAAGAAAGATTGCACTGGGTTGTCACACTTGGTGGCCACCATGCAGGGTTTATGAGCCAGGACTTGAAGCTGGAAGAACCCAAACCAGTCTGTGTTGTTTTCTGATGGCATGGGAAGGGGCGGATCATGTATAGCTATGGGATTTACAAGGGTGGTATTTTAAAGTGACACTAACCATTTTCAGTTAAACTGGAAAAGATTATTTTTAAAGTGTATGTAGAAGAAAGTAATGGCTAACTACTTCCAAACTGTTGCAAAAAAAACTAGATGGATGTGTCCAGGTAGCCACTAAATATGTGAATTAAGCAAGTTAGTATTCTTCAGGCCAAATACTGTGCAAATATTGACAATCCCTATCAAGAGCCAAGCAGAATCTATTAATTTATGGAAAGGACAGAGGAAAAAAAGATGGGCTTAAGGCACTGTAAAGTGCAAGAAGAGGACTACCCATAGCTCTTCAGGAAAAGCACAAGCAATGGTTTCATTTTGGCTTCATTCATGTCTGCAGTAAACAGTCTTCTGCAGCTGAGCCATGCCTATGAGATTTGTGCCAAGTCCCCACCTACGAGTCACGTGAAGCCCTATGAAGTCATGAGATCTGTGATTCACTGCCAAATCCTGGTACAGGAGCCTGACATAATGTGGCATTACCTCACCAACTTTACTTAATCTTTAAAACACTAAGCAGGGTCTGATCTGCTTTGTACCTGCATGGGAGACCAACAGAAATCAGTACAGGTAGTCCTACACTTATGAGTGGTTGCTTAGCAACTGACCAAAGTTATAATAGACCTCCCTGGAGGTACTTATGACCCAGTTCTGAAGGCCAGGTCACGTGACCTCAACAGGTGCTTGGCAACTGGCCCTCCTGCGGTCACGTGACCACATCTTACAATGCTTTTGCTGAAAACTGACATTTACCTCAGGTTTTTGGCAAAACCAGCCGATAGCAAATCATTGATTTGCTTAATGATTGCTGCAATAAAGGATTGCAAAAGTGGGTTTGTCATGTGGATGACCTGTTTTATGATCATCACAACTATAATGGGGATGGGCAGGCCCCATTATGGTCATAAGTCAAGGACTAACTATATGTAGTAAAAGGCTAGCCCAATGCTTCTTTTTTATTACTCAATGCTGCTTACCAGAAAGTCTTTAAATTTTTCCTGTTGTGATTGGATAATGAATTCATGTGCTGTTATCCCAAGAAAACCCAACTCTTCTCCAATTTTCTCCAATTGTGGGTAATTTATTCAAAGCATGGGCTACACACTAAGTGAACAATCTCCCAAGAAAGCACTTTCTACAGGTAACCAGCATGTTACAAAGAGGCAAAATGTTGGAAGTGGCATCACAGTCCTAGCCCCAAATCTTTTGTACATGCAATGCTACGTTTTTCCCTTTTTCATCCCTTGCTCCCATGGACACTGCTGAGTAAACCACTTGTGTATTGTTGCCAAGAAAATGAAAGGGAAGTGCCCATGTAATTCCCAGGAAGATTTCACCTCAACCTTTTTCAGGCTACAACCCGATTTTTGAAATGGTTAGCCAGCAGTCATATGAGAATTCAGGGTGACTCAAAAGCCACATAACCTACCACTATGTTTAGAAATGTGAGTTTTGGATTATAGCTTACATGTTCAAACATTGCAGTTCTGTTGGTGGTCTGACTGTATTTGACTGGTATTCTTTATTATATAAGGTCTAACTATACAATAATTACAAATAATACATAAATTAGCACTTGGGTTTGAGTAATACCTCTTTGCTCAATTCAAGTAAACAAAGTACTCTGAAGATAATAGTGAAACAAGTACTGATAATAGCTCTTAGCTCAGCTGTAAGCAGTTGACTGTCCAGATTTATTAAGGTCATGTTGCTTGGACTAAAGCAGTTTTTTAAATGGGATATGGAAAATTATGGTAAAGCAGGCAAATTTCTGGCATTAATAAAACTAATAATGATCAGAATTGACATAAGAAACCTAAAAAAGTTACTTGGCATTTTTAAAGATTTTGTGTATATCATAGCAAGCAATTCTTTGTGGGGGCAACAGGTAAGAACATCAGATTTTTTTTAATTCTTTCCCGCTTTCTAAAATACTTTAGTAACTGCTGACCATCCCTGTATGTGCAATGTGAGCTAAGAAACATACTGTGCAATTCCCTGCTGCAATACAACATATTATTGTTACTTGAAAGTGCATGCCAACACTTGAAGTTGTGCGGCATATGATTGGAGACCTATCCAAGCCATAGCTGTGCAGGCAAAGGGTTGTAACAGAGAAATCGTATAAGTAATGCAACCGCTCCTAAATGAGATTGGAAACATCCTTTCCTATCTCTTGGCATCAATTCTCTTTCACAAGTCAGTTAAGCCAACTGCCTTTTCACAACACTTTTACTCATTTTTTTTCTCCAAAGATTACTCATGGTTAGTACCAGAAATCTGTGGAGCAGGTAACTGTTCATCTTTAACCACAAAGGACAATATGCTGATAAGGTGTGATGTAACCAAAGCCTCAAGGATTACCGGATGTTTGTAGTTCTTTTCTGGGAGAGGAGAGGGGTGTGTGAAAATAGCCCACAGATATTTAGAGGCATTGTCTGGGAATCCAACTATTCCTCTTGCTCAGCCCACCCAGCAAGTTAAAATGATTTACAGGTCACAATCCTTTCCCTTAACAAATGTACCCAACACTGGTGCGTATGGGGATATTTGTGGCTCTTTCTTTACACGTCTATATATTCAGTATAGGACGACAGTAGCAAACCCTTGTTTCAAATGCCTTAAGAATAAACAACTTTTACAGAAGAGAGGCAATTTTTAGACTTGCAATCCCAACCTGTGTGTTGCATGATAAGTGGGCTTCAAATGCACAGCAATTGCAGAATTCTAATTGCATAAACTTTCCTTGAATGGGGGGGGGAAAGAAAGTTTTGGGGACCCTATTTTATTTTTAAGTCCCTGCAGACTTCATAAAACAGCAGAGTCTCATAATATAAACCATTATTTGGTTTAAGTGTAAACCGACTGTGATTTGTGCCTCATTGTTTATGACGCAGGGTGCTGCGCGTAAACCCAGCAACTTCTGCTTAAGAAACTATGGTTTAGCACAATGGGCAAACCCTTAAAAGCTCATGTCACAAAATAACAGTTGTCTCTCCCACCACATCCAGAGGTGATGCCAAGTATTTTGTTTTCCCGAGGTGGATAAGCCTGCATATTTCCCAATGGGGGGGCGGTGGCTGGCAGTTAAATCTTCAGTAGTGCCTATAGGACAAACCTTTCATCTTATCAGAAGGCAAACTGGAGGAGGCTGTTCATGCCAGATTCCCCAATCGTCTCCCCAACAAAAGGCAATGATAGAACGCTGTCCCCTTCACATCCATCTAGGCATCTTCTCCTTTGCTTATTAAGTGGCTTCTGATCACTCATTTGGGAGCAACTTCCCCAAATCAAAGGTCCGATCCACCCTGGAAATGTTCCTCAGAGCTCTTTTACAAGTGGCCAGCAGTCCACAAGAAATATACAATAGTTTAAACCTTATTTTCTCAAGGTGGGTCCCTCCCCTGCCATTTCTCCCAACAGGTTGGGATCCTCAATAAACCAAGTAAGCTGCAGCATCTCTGGAGCCTTATCTCCTCCCCTTTTCAGTTAGAAAGATCCAAGTGAGGCATTCTTTATTCAATCATCTTTATTAATAATGTTATAAAAAGCTCATAAAAAACAGGTATTTTACAAAAAAGAGAAAAGAAGCTCAACATACCACCAGCTCAGAGATCACATAAATAGACTTGTGGGGTGTTTTTGTGGGGGTTTTTTTTTTTCTTTTTCTTTTCCTCAAAAACGAAAGCTGGCAATTCTAGCATCTCCCAATTTCAGACTCGGTTTCCTGGCGTTCCAAAACCATTTCGAAACCGGTCATCATAAAGAAACGCCAGATCTTCCGGCCAAGGTTTTTGCTAGGGCAGCAGAGGGAAAAATAGAGAGAACACACACCGCTTGGGCACGCGAAAACTTCTCTCCAACAGACCCACGTGCACGGCAGAAGACCGTTCCCATCGGAAACACCCGCGCACACGTACACCCGGAGCCCGCACGTGCACGTGCACGCACACGCTCAGAAACAGGCTCTCCCCCCCCCCCAAAAAAAAACCCCAGCAAAAGCGTTTCCCCCCCCCTCCCCACGCAAGAGAGATCTGCTCGTTCTCGCGCCCGCAATAAGGAAATAAAGGGAAACAAAACTGCACGTGGAAATGGGATGTCAATAACGAATGCTCGGCAAATCAACATGATTTGAATAACGTCTCGCACGAAAACTCACACAGAGCCTCTCGGGAGTTACGGAAAGGGGCGGGAAAGGAAAGCGAAGGAGTTCGAGCTCCCTCTTCCCTTCCCGGTTCACTTTTTCTCCGCCGGGGATTCTTCCTTACACCTGGACCACCACGGTGCTGGGCCCGGCCCGGAGGCTGCTCTTGTACTGGTCGAGCCAGCGCCTGAGTTCGGAGATCTTGTAGCCTTCGGGGCCCCGGCCGCCCTGGTACATCACCTTCCGCTCCTGGATAATGTACAGGCGCTCGAAGTACGCCCCGTAGGCGGCGCTCGAGGCGTTGTCCATGGTGTCCACGGCCAGCGGGCAGCCCGGCGCGCCTTCCTTCATCAGCTGAGCCGCGCGCAGCCGGTCCTGCAAGCACTGGTGCCGGGGGATGTCGTAGGCGGCGTCCGAGCTGACCCAGCCGTCGGAAGGGTGAGCCTCCTCGATGTAGACCAGCAAGAAGTCGGCGATGTCCACGAAGCGCGCGGCCAGGCGCTCGAAGGCGCGCAGGCGCGCCATGAAGGGGGGTCAGGTGCAGCTGCCGAAGTTGAGGATCAGCGGCCTCTTGCCCCGGGCGTAGTCCAGGATGCGCTGCCGCGTGCGCCCGTCCAGCTGGACCACCTCCGGGTTGGGCGCCGTGGCGCCGACGTGCGCCGCCTTGAAAAAGTCCAGCTTCTGCCCGTGCCACACCGCTTTGAGCGACTCCAGCGTGAACATGCGGTTCGAGTCGGAGACGCAGAGCGGAGGGTCGTCCGGCGGGCAGGTCCCCTCGCTCGAGTCGCCGTCCTCCGCCGCCAACTCTTGCTCCTCGCCGAGGGTCGCCGCCGCCGCCGCCGCCGCGGTCAGCAGGAGTTTCTTCCGGATGCAGAGAAAATCCAGGAGCCAGAGCATCACAGCGGTCAGGAGGAAGCGGGGCAGGAGGAGCACGCAGGCGGCCACCTGGCTGAGCGCTTGCAAGGTCTGGGCGCCCACGGAGTGTAGCATCGCCGCGGCAGGAGTGGCAGCTCCGCTGGGCGCCCACGCGGTGGTCCCGGAGCCTCCCGCTCGCCTCCCCCGACGCCGCTCACTCCCGCCGCTCCTCTGGGCGCCTCAACTGATGAGATCCCGCTTCTCCTTAAACCCATTTTATAGTCGGGGATTTAAATGAAGAAGTGACTCCACCTCCGGCCGGAACCCGCCTCCTTTGGAACCTGAGCCCGGGGATTACCTACCCCTCCACTCCGATGACCTAAAAATATACTGGCCAAGAGAAGGGGAAGGAGAGGCAGGGGGGCGGAGGAGGGGGGGGGAGTGGACCGAGGGAACGCGCAAGCGAGCCAGCCCCAACCCCGGTTTGGCAGTGCGGGGGACGTGCCACGGCGCAGGGAACGGCCGCTCTCAGGCCAGGCAGCTTTAGGGCACGTCCGGGTCTTTTCCAGAGCAGGTCGGGCGTGCCGGGAATAATCGACGCAACAGGCGCTCTCGTCCTCCTCCTCCTCCTCCTCCTCCTCCAACATTGCTCACTTGGGTGTAAACGTGGAGAGCGAGCGAGGGTAATCAATGAAACGCTCGGGACGAGGACTGGCTCCCGGCGCCGACCAATACCGGATCCCCCTCCCAAGCATCCTCGGGCAAGTAGTCACCCCTTTCTTCCCTCTTCTCTTTTCCCGCGCTCTTCCCCCCCCCCGCCCGCGCACGTGGATGGAAAGCGAGACCGAAGTGAAATTCTTCCAAAGAGTTCCTCCCCCCCCACCACCACCCGTGCACGCAAACGCCCCGGAAAGCGAAACTCTTCCAGCGAGCAGCGTCGCCAAACTTGGTCTAAAGTCTCGGAAGAACCGACTCGATCCCCACCTTCCCGTCAAGGGTTGCCTCCGCCCGCCCGCCCGCCCGTTCGTTCCCCGGCTTTGCCAGCGGAGAGGCGCGAGAAGAGGTGGCGAGTTAGTTAAAAGTACCTGCTCGGTCTTTCTGCGCTTGGGAAATGGGCGCCTTTCCTTTTCGCCTTCGGGTTCTGGTACGTCGTCCACGTGGTCGGGAAGGAAAGCCGGCCTTATCCGGAGACAAAGGAGTTAATGCCTCGGTTCGTGACCTCGCCTCGGAGCCACCTCGCTGGTTAAACCTGTTGACCGCGGCGAAATCGACGGCGAGAGTTAAATGCGCAAGATAAGTTTTACTTCCCGCAGCAGCCACTAGGGGTAGCTGTTGGCCGAAGGGTGAAATCGGTAGACCTGAACCCTCCGCGTGTCTCACACCGGTTCTAACAGACTTGAGAATATTTGGAATTTAGCAGCACAAGAAACTAAAGATGTTCACTAATTCCACCCCAAAGGGCATAAAGTCCAATATGGTATATAAGCTGGAACGAATACATCAATCTTAAATTATGGATCCTTAAACAGCTTTAGGATTCATTTGTTACACGGGCACATTGCGTACAAGCACACCATTTCCCCCTACATTAGAAGTCTTTCTGCTCCAAGGGGGCTCTGTTTATTCTGGGTCTTAAGCAGAAGTCTTTCCCTTCACCTGCTAACTTACGTCTTTTAACAGGAGATGCCTTCGGTAAACTATTAACAAAACTAAGATCTCTCATGCCATCATCAAGAAGTTAACCTTATGCAACAGAGCTTTCACTTTGTGGTTTTACTCTGTAGAAAGCTTTGAAAATGATTTAGAAGCATGCTTTGAACCATGCACAAGTACAGCAACTCCCTGCTGTTTATTAAAGGAGCCCACCCTTTTTCAAGCTTCCGTGCAAGCCTGAAAAAACGAGCTGGTGCTTTAAAGGTTTTCTTAATATTAATGAATAGAGTCCTTAAAGCAGCAGCAACTTTTTAAGGCTCCGGCAGAAACCTTTAAAACGGGTGTCCAAGCTTGGTAACTTGTAAGACTTGTGGGCTTAAAGGTAAAGCATGGCTGGCTGAGGAATTCTGGGAGTTGAAGTCCACAAGTCTTAAAGTTGCCAAGGTTGGACACCCCTGCTTTAAAATATCAGGCTGCTTTGATGGTATAAGAAGGGCGGTATATAAATCAAATTAATAATAATAATTAATAATAATAATAAGAGAGGTCTTGTGTTTGGGTATGTTTGAATCATGTCTTGTAATATCTTTCAAACAGTGTTGGCCCTGTTATGCAAAATAGATTTTGGATAGAGTTATACTATATATTGGATTTAACATCCATCTGTTGTGTAATAAAATAAACCAACCAAAAAAAGAACCAATCATGAATGGAGAAGCTTCATGCTTTTATAATAATTTGGTGGCTATTAAATGTTGAGGGAGAATGTTAAGTCTACTTTCTGGACCAATTCTAGTTTCTGGGTAGTTATCAAGAATAGTTCCTTATAGAGTGCATGGCAGTAATCCAAGGTCTGGTTAAATGACCAAAAGCCATACAATTTGAATTTGGGTTCACTACCAGATCTGGATGTAAGAATATGGATGGCCAGTGGATGGCAGCAGAGCAGTTCAGAAAAACAGTTTTGTATTTAAACGATTTATATAGCTGCCCATCTTATTTAGCATAATCTTGAGTATAATCTTATGAACAAAAATAAAAGCATAAAAATCAGCATAAAAACTCATCAGATGAACCCTTTGCTCCTATTAAGAGGTTGTGTGGGTTTTTAATTTCAGTTTTAATTTGGGAATTTTTCCAGTAACCCTAGAAAAGGACACATTTCCATATTTTTAAATAGGGGATAAAGTAGATTTCAGTAGTGCTCTCCAGATGTTTGGCTACAGCTGTCTTACCCTCTAGTGGGAAGCCTGGGAAGCCTGGGAAGCCTGAGAAGTGAAGTTCAGAATATCTGAAAGGTGCGAGATTACCTATCCTTGATCTAAAGATCCCAGAAGTAAAAACAAAAGCAAAAAAAGAACAAAAAACCAAAAACCTGCACATTGGGAAAGGCTACCTGACAGATGTAAAGTAAATTAAAACCTCCAAAGCTGGAGGTTTTAGTTTATTTTAAACCAGCCAACAAGGTTCCTAGATCCTGGAGATCAGTGAACACTTGTACATTACTGAGCACCTGGCTTTGAAGGCTATTGATGACAAGAGGGCCAATAAGTACAACAAAGGAGAGTGAATATGTTCAAGGAAATAGAGCAGTATTTCTCAACCTGGCCACTTTAAGATAGGTGGTCCTCAACCCCCAGAATTCCTTTTTAGGGCTCCTCCTATTTTCCCCACAACAGCAACCCTGTGAAATGAGTTGGGCTCTCATGGCTAAGGTGGGAGTAGAACTAGAACTCACAGCCTTTTTAGCCTTAAACATCAGATCGAACTGGCTCTCCTTGTAGCTAGGGAATTCTGGGAGTTAGAGTCCGCCCATCTTAATGTCACCAAGATTGAAAAACCCTGGAAGTAGGGTTTTTAAGGTTTTATAGTTTAGAAAAAAGAGTTGAGCAAGAAATCATGACATAGCTACAAGCAATTATAGTATGGTATTAATGTCAAGAAAGATATTAGATAAGGAGATGTTTTGCCCTGTACTTTTCATAATACTAGGACCCTAAACCACCAAGGAAATGGAATGGTGGGAAACTCAGGATAGACAAAAGGAAGTTTTGTCTATCCTGAATTTGAGCAGGGGGCTGGACTAGAAGACCTCCAAGGTCCCTTCCAGCTCTATTCTATTCCAAATGCTCTTAAGAAGTGCTGCTTCATACAGCACATATTTCAACTATGGAATTTGCCATTTCAATAGGTGGTAGCGGCCACCATCTTAGGAACCTTTAAGGGGGGGAGTTAAACATGTTCATGACAATTGCTCCTGGAATGGCTCATAGTTGTGACATCAGTACATTATCTCTAGTATTGTGAGAAGATCCCACTTTGTACTAATCATTGAAGAAGAGAATGCCAGGAGATTGTTCTCCTAATCTGCTTGTGGACTTTCCAGAAACATTTTATTGGTCACTTTAGGAAGATAAAGCTGGCCTGGATCATCTATGGAAAAATCCGATACTTAACTATGCACTTTGTGAAAAAAAGGAACTTTTCCCTGTTACCTTTCTCCACAACTTACTATATTTTATGCACCTCTATTATGTCCTTCAAATTTGGAACTTTCATTATAAATGAACTTAATGTTCTTTGGTGTTCAATGGTTTGTCCCTTGGTTGTTGGTATTGTTTTTTAAAACTTTGGTTGTTTTGCTCTTACTAATCTGTCTTACATTTGTAACTTTATTGTGTTTTATTCTCAAATACCAACTCTGAGCAACAGAAATTAGTTTTTTTCTGAATATGTATTGGGTCTCTTTAGTGCCGGTACTGCTGCATCATACACAAATATACTGTTTCTACCCTTAAAACCATTCATACATCTATGTTTCTTATTCTAGAAGTATAGATTGGAAAGAGCATAGTACATATACTGTAATGTATTTGTGGTTACAATCTTGTCACTTGATCCTAATTCCTTAACAACAAATGGTTGTTTGTGCTATATTTTGTAATTTTACATTGAATTGAGCAATGAGAAATGGAATGTGCCCATAACAGAATTTCAGCCTTGGAAGAAATTTCAGTCACTGCTCTTACCAAGACTATGGATCAAAAAGGATTGAGCCTCAATTACTTAAGCAGTATTTATGCATGCTTAACTTGCTTTTGGGGTTTTTATGGAAATGCTCCTACATAAACTTGCTATAAGAGTTTACTGATATTTCAGGTCAGCCTTGACTTCTTGGATTTTTGTGCAAAGTTGAATCCTAAACTTGGCTATATTGTTGAAGTCTAGATCTGATTCATATTTAATGTCAAGCATTTAGGAAAAATGGCATGAAAACCCCAAAGCCAAGCATTTTCTGGCCTCTTCATCCAACCCCAAACATACTAGATTATCCACATGCCTTGTGGGACATATAAGTTATACTGGGATAGGTTTTGATATCCAAACATTGAATAGCATAACATCTGTTTTTACTTTTGGCACTTATAAAATCAAACAAATCTGAAGTAAAGGCATGCTGAAAATGTATATAATGTACAGTCTCTCACACACTGATAATG